TTAAACGTGTTATTTCATGTGCCGTAAGGCTAAAATCTCAGAGGGATACGCTGGACCATGATACGCAGATACAAAGCAAATTCAGGGATTTCCCTGGTGGTCCAAAATACTGGGCCACCGTGCTCCGAGTGCAAAGGGCTCGGGTGTATCACTGATCAGGGAACTAAGATCCCACGTGTGGTGCAGCAGAAAAGAGAGAAGAAAAAAAAGGTGCATCCAAATATTTGACCCGATAAACATTATCTTGCTGCTCTTCAATCACAGGAAGACAGAAGCCTGAGGGTCATCCTGTGAGCTCCAGCACCGGTGATGGACCACAGTGAAGACTTCACAGACAGGAAGGCAGAGATACCAGGCAGCCTTGAATCATGTGGCCAAGATGCTGTCTCTCTTTCCCTCAGAAAACACAGTTTTCCTGCCTCTATACTCACCAATTGTATTCCTATCCAACCCACCTGTTATATCAATGTAGTATTTCTCACTGCACATTACAAGGCATGTTTATTTCTTTTAGTGGTGTGACACCTGAGATCTATTTGAAAAGGAGATGTACGAAACTTCATTTTCTGCAAGACATTTCCTGCAGTGGTAGAAATGTGTACAAAGTGGCCTCGTGAACTCAGATAAACATTGTTTTTTTTTTTTAAATTTCATTATGTTTGGTGTAATGGCAATACTATCTGCCAAAGGATTTGAAATTATCTCTGAGAAGATTGTGAAAGGTGATTCCCCACCAGTTTCAGTCTGATAGCAAGATTATGCACAATCACTTCGTTCTGTACATTCGTCTTTATTCAATGAAAATTCACTCTAAGATGCCACATGTTTTCATTATGTGTCTTTATTACTGAAGATCTGCAAATGGTTGTGCTTAACACAGCTTCATGTCCTCAGATCAAAACATGGCTTCTCCACCTCCGAGTCAGCCTCATACTACAATAAAAAAATGACTCAAAGTTTCTATTTAAGCTGGAAGGATAGATTTATCAGCCATTGAGATGGGAAGGGTGGTGGTGCTGTAGATGGAGGAGGTTAGAAGGAAATATCTAAAATTCGCTTTTGAACATATTTTATCTTAGAATCTATCAAACACCCAATTGACGCAGACTGTAGGCATTTGAATGTAGGGCTCTGATACTCTGATTTTTTTTAATGATTTTATTTATTTACTTTTTGGCTGTGCTGGGTCTTCACTGCTGTGTGGGCTTTTCTCTAGTTGTGATGAGTAGGGGCTACTCTCTAGTTGAGATGCGCAGGCTTCTCATTGCAGTGGCTTCTCTTGTTGGGGTGCATAGGCCCAACAGTTGTGGTGTACGGGCTTAGTTGCTCCATGGGCATGTGGAGTATTCCCAGATTGGGGATCAAACCCATGTCTCTTTCACTGGCAGGTGGATTTTTTTTTTATTTTTTTGGGCAGGTGGATTCTTACCATTCCAGAGCCTCCAGGGAAGTCCTGACTTTTGGCAAAAAAAGTGAGATGTTTTATTCTTGATGGGCTGATTTTTTAAGAATGATCAGAGCTATGCAATCTAGACTCCCCAAGAGAAGACATTAATGTACAGAAATAATGCCAAGTAAAATGTCTCATACCTGGATTCTTACAGCTACAGGTGAGTCTAATGTTTTAGAAAAAATAAACAGAAAGCAGGATATCTGGGAAATATTAAAGGATTGTCTGGAGTTATAAAAAGATGTTCCTTTTTCTTAAGGTGGAATAAACATGTGGTACCTATCATTCACATTCCTGATCTCCAAAAGGTAGATTTCAGATAAGAGATTTCAAATCAGGCTGCACCTTTGTTAGCTCTTTTCCTTTCCTTGTACTCTGTCATTAAACTTCTCATATTAATTTCCCCTAGATAAATCATGTCTCGTTAACTCTGTGTAAGGTTCTTCTTCTGAAAAACCCAACATTAGGCAGAACACGTTTGGTCAAAACCTAAGATATCAATCATGTGAATTATGTCAGTGATACTAGGTTTCTCTTCCATAAGAATATAAGCAAAGGCCAGGAAAACTGCCTTAAATGTATAACTGCAGAATCAGACTAAATCTGGCCCTGCCCTGTTTCTAACAAGAAACTGAGTTGTTTTTCAAAGACACAACAAAACTACAAGTCATGCAGTCAAACCATGCACTAAGATTTCAACCTCAAACAACATTCAGGATCAGAATTTGTCCCCTGTCCCTACTTTTAATTTTCTTCTTCTTTTTTTATAGTGTGTTTGACTGGTTTTGGTATCAGGGCAATAATGAACAACACTGTAGAATAAATTTCAGTGTGTTTCATCCTCTTTAGTTTTTTGGGACAGTTTGAGAAGAAGTCATATTAGCTCTTCTTCATATGTTTAGTAAAACTCCTCTGTGAAGCAGTCTAGTCCTGGACTTTAGTTTCCTGGGATTTTTTTTTTCCTTAAAGAACCAGAATATATATTCAAGTGTGCATGGAACATTCTCTAGCATAGACTACACACTACCTCACAAAACAAGCCTCAACAAATTTGAGAGGACAGAAATTTAAAGCATCTTTTCTGAGCATAATAGTATAAACTCAGAAAATCAATCACAGAAACAAAAATGAGGGGGAAAAAAAGACAATTACATGGAGACTAAGCAAAATGCTACTTAAAAACCTATGGGTCAATGATGAAATCAGACAGGGAATCAGAAAATACCTCAAGAAAAATGACAATGAAAACACAGCCTTATAATAATCTATTGGATTCAGCAAAAGCAGTTCTAAGAGGGAAGTTCATAGTGATATAGGCCTTCCTCCAGAAACAAACAAAATGTCTAAAGATGAACCTAACCAACCACCTAAAACAATTAAAAAAAAAAAAAGAGCAAAACCCAAAGTCAGCAGAAGGAAGAAAATTATAAATGTAAAAGAAAGAAACAGGTGTTTTTTGTGTGTTTTTTTTTTTTAAAGACAAAGATTCATAAGAACAGGAGATAATTTTTTGAAAGGATAAACAAAATAAAAAACCTCTAGTCAGGCTCACCAAAAAGAGAGACAACCCAGATAAACTAAGAAATCAAAGAGGAGAAGTAACAACTGATACTATAGAAAAACAAACAAAAAATCCTAAGAAAATACTATGAACAGTCATAAGCCAATAAATTCAACAACCTAGAAGAAATGGACAAGTTTCTAGAAACATATAGGAAAAAGCAGGGTAAGAGTTAGCAAGTATATCCACAGTTGTGCAAATAAACATGAAATGTGTGTTTTCATGTTATTATCTATTTCAAGACCTCGATACATGGTGGTGTTTCAGACATGTTTTTAGGAATATGGAATGTATTAATGTACATGTAAACACATATTTTCCTACTGGAACTTACTCTGTATTTGTTAGAAAATACAATAAGCAGCTCATCTATGACATTAAGTTGCATAGTATAATGGATGGTGATGGGTCCTAAGGAAGTTAAGAAGGGCAGCAAACAGATGATGAAAAAATTAGGAGTTTATGATGGGTTGAGGCACTAAACTGAGTGTTGGTATTTGGACTTCTAATGAAGATGGAAACTGAGGACATATTTTAGGTGGTTTATTTCATCCTTTCCAATTGCTGCAGTCATTATTTTGTCTTACTGAATGAAACTGGAACTCCAGGAGGACACTAGAACCCACTGTCTTCCTTTTATTCTAATGGGGATATTTTAACAATGGTTCAAAGTTACACTCTTTCTAATAGCTTTATGTAGATGTTATTTATTTATAAGATTAAGAAAGATCACTACTAGGGAGTTCCCTGGTGGCCTAGTGGTTAGGACTTTCACTGCTGTGTCCTGGGTTCAATCCCTGGTTGGGGAACTGAGATTTCACAAGCGGTCAAAAAAAAAAAAAAAAACCAAGGGAAAAAACAAAGCACAAAAACAAGAAGGACCACTTCTACCCTTACTTTGATGTCTAAGTGTAATAGGTATGAACAATCCACAAATTGAGGACTTCTCCATTCAGTATCATCACATGTAGAAAATACCTGGAAATGTTTAAGATCTACAAAGGGAAAACTAAAAAACACTGCTAACAAAACTAAAGATCTAAATAAAAAGATATATTATGTTTATAGGTTGGGAAACAGTCTTTCTTCTATGTTTGTGTGTGCTTAGTTGCTCAAGCACGTTTGACTCTTTGTGACCCCATGGACTGTAGCCCAAAATGCTCCTCTGTCCATGGGATTTCCCAGGCAAGAATAGTGGAGAGGGTTGCAATTTCCTACTCCAGGGGATATTCCCAACCCAGAGATGGAACCCAAGTCTCTTAGGTCCCCTGCACTGACAGGCAGATTCTTTACCACTGCATCACCATACTGAAGATTAAATGCAATCCAAAGCTGCACTTCCATTGCCAAGGGTACACGTTCAATTCCTGCTCAGAGATCTAAGATCCCATATGCTAAGCAGCCAAACAAACTTCATATGGAAAGGCAAAGGACAAAGAATGGCCATAATAACTTGGATAAAGAAGGTCCAAGAAAAAAAAAAAAGAAAGTCCAAGGAGTACACAACCTTGAGATCAAGAAATATTATTGTTAAAAGTAAATTATTCAACCCATGAAAGTGCTGGCATAAATAAAGTGGATGAATGCAACTGAAGAGAAAGTCCAGAAATAGACATATACATACACGACTGACCTTCCATGAAGATACTAAAGCAATTTAAGAAATAAGCTATACTATTTTAAATCATTATCACTGCAGCAATTGGGTATCCATATTTTAAAAAAAATAACTTTCCAAATCAACTGAGGATGGCTTATTAAAATCATTAAGAAACCTAAATTTAAAAGTTACAGAAGGAAATACAGGAAAAATTCTGTCTTTAAATTTGGGAAACATGTCTTATTTACAATACCAAAAGAATAATCAGTAAAAGAATAAATAGACAAACTACACTAAAATTAAAGAGTCTTGGGAATTCTCAGGTGGTACAGTGGTTAGCACTCTGTGCTCCCACTGCTGGAGGCACAGGTTTGATCCTTGGTTGAGGAACTAAGATCCCTCATGCCCAGCAGCATGGCCAAAAAAAACAAAACTCTTTCTCTGGAAATGTGACTGAACTGAGATGACCAAGTCTGGAGGAATACTGGTAAATATTTCCAGTAAAGTACCTTAATCAATAATCCATGAAGAAACATCAAGTCAGTAATTAAGAGGGCAAATCATATGAACAGCAATTTCAATAATGATATATGGGTGGAAATTAACACACTGAAAATGACTCAGCATCATGTCAATAGGAAAATGCTACTTCAAATCACTGGATACAGCTATGACATCACAGAAATGAGGAAGCCCAAACACACCAAGTGTTGGCAAGAATGGCAAGAACAGAAACTTGGATTTTAGTGCTTCTGGTGAGACTGTAAAAAGATTTAACCACTTTAGAAAAGGTTGAGTGACCCCATGAAAGTTGTACATCCACCTACTCGACAACACAGGAGTTGTGCTACCAGATGTTAACTTGAATGAAGGCAAGCCTAAGTTCAGAAGGGCACTTCCCAAGTGTGAACTTTCCTGTTTTTTTATGAACTTGGAGCTGCCTACAAAGAACTATGCTCATGAGGCTTTCATCTGGTGTGGATTCTCTGGTGGACAACAAGACTTGTTTTGTAAGTGAAGGGCTTCCCACATTCACTGCATTTAAAAGGCGTTACTCCAGTGTGGGCTTTCTGGTGTTGAACAAGTGTAGCCTTGCGCATGAAGGCTTTCTCACATTTGTTACACGTATAGGGTCTTTCTCCAGTGTGGGTTCTCTGGTGCTCATCGAGTTTAACTTTGCCATTGAGAGCTTTCCCACATTCAGTGCACTGGTAATGCCTTTGTGCAGTGTGAATATTCTCATGTCTGTTGAGAGCGAAACTGGTTGTAAACAATTTTCCACATTTGTTACACCCATAAGCCTTCTCCAAAGTATGAATTCTCTTATGCACAACAAGACTTCCTTTGTAGACATAAGCTTTCCCACATTCACTGCACATAAAAGGTTTTTCTCCAGTGTGGACTCGCTGGTGATAAAGCAGCCTTATTTTGAAGATGAAAGACTTACCACATTTGCTACACCCATAAGGCTTTTCTCCACTATGGATCCTCTGGTGAGCAAGAAGGTTATTTCTGTACAGGAAGCACTTCCCACACTCACTGCACTTATGAGGATTCTCTCCAGTGTGGATTTTTTGATGCTGGACAAGTGAATCCTTGCGGGCGAAGGCTTTCCCACATTCAGTACACTCATAGGGTCTTTTTCCAGTGTGGGTTCTCTGGTGTTCAAAAAGTTTGTATTTGTGGACAAAGACTTTCCCACAGTTACAGCACTCATAAGGCCTTTCTCCTGTGTGAACTTTCCGATGGTGAATAAGACTGGAGCTCTGTCTAAAGAACTTCCCGCAGTCACTGCACAAATAAGGTTTTTCTCCAGTGTGAACTCTCCAGTGCTCCATGAATTTGTACTTCTTACTGAAGGCTTTGCCACATACACTGCACTTGTAATGTCCTTGCCCAGAGTGAGAGACCTCTCTCCTCTGCCTGCTTCTGTACAGATGCTGTCCATCGTGGGAAGAATAGTGCTGAAGAAAGGCCAGGCTGCCAAGGAAAGTCTTCTCAATGTCTCTACACCTGAACACAGTGTCAGCCAGGTACAGAACATCCTTCTCTACCAGGGCACGCATAGTGGAAGCGAGAGTCTTCAAGATAGAAGGGTCGGGCTGTGGATTCCTGTTTCGTGTCACTTGCTTTACAGAAACACACTGTTTAGAAATGGCCTTCTCAGCTTCTCCTCCCTGCCAACAACCTGAAAGGAAAACAAAAAGTACTGATAAAGTGTGTGGAGACTTCTCTGGGACAGGAACCCATTACAGATTTCTGTAAGAAATGAGAGTAAGTCCATGGCAAAAGATTCAAACAAGGGAGGTGGACAGGTGGCAGAAGGGGTTACTGTGAATACTAGGCCTCTGTGATTGGAGAATAGGGAAAAAGACAGGATGCCGGGATATGGTGCTGTGCTGAGAGGCCTGGAACTACCCACTCTTTGGCTAGTGGTATTCAGTAGGATTTCAGGGTGGTGACAAGTGTACTAGGTAGAATGTGTCCCACTTCAGGAAAATGCATTCACGCCTGACTACTCGGTGTTTGAGGACTATATAAGTACTTGCACCTCCTAAGATACAATAAGAATGGACTACTGGTACTGTCCTTCTAGATTTCAAAAATATATATATATACACATTAATATGATATTTGTTTTTCTCTTTCTGACTTATTTCACCCTGTGTAATAGGCTCCAGGTTCATTCACCTCATTAGAACTAATTCAAATATGTTCCTTTTTATAGGTGAGTAGTATTCCATTGTATGTATGTACCACAACTTCCTTATCCATTCATCTGCCAGTGGACATATAGGTTGTTCACATGCTAGCTACTGTAAACAGTGCAGGGCAGCAAAAGAGACAGAGACATGAACAGCAGACATTTGGAAACAGTGGAAGAAGGAGCGAGTGGGATGACTTGAAAGAACAGCATTGAAACCTATACATTACCATATGTAAAACAGATAGCCAATAGAAGTTTGCTGTGTGACACGGGGAACCCAAAGTTGGTGCTCTGCGACAACCTGGAGGGATGGAGTGGGGAGGAAGGTGGGAGGGGGGTTCAGGAAGGAGTGGATATATGCATGCCTATTGCTGATTCATGTTGATGTATGGCAGAGGCTATCACAATATTGTAAAGTAATATCCTCCAATTAAAATTTAAAAAGAATCAACTACTGGGACTTCCGCTATGATCCAGTGGTAAAGAATCCACCATCCAGTGCCAGGGTGAGGGGGGTGGGTTCTATCCCTGGTTGGGGAACTAAGATCCCACATGCCACCAGTGTGGCAAAAACAAGTGAACAAACAAAATAACTAGCAAAAAAGAACAGACTGCTAGTGGAGAAGATTGCAGGGAGAGAGGGAAAGGAGAGATGTAGGTGACAGTGAGGTAGAAAAAGACAGGGGTATGAACTCACAGTAGAAATAGACAAAAGGGGGAAGTGTCAAAATGGGGAAGATAGAAATGAGGTGCAGCCAGGATAAGCTAAAGACTGACACAGCATGGAGGAAGGACCTGTCCCTGCAGGATTAGAACCCATCAGTGACATCACACCTTCCCACAGCTCCTGCTCACCAGGTCCTGGATCCTGTCAACCCTCTTCCTATGACCAGACAGGTGTCTACCTCGTCAGGCACCCAGGGCCGCCTCCGCCCCTCAGCTCAGGATGGGTGAGGGTGGAACCTACCAGAGCAAAGGCTTGAGGGCAAATTGGACAAAGACACCAGCCCAGAGTGACCCAAACAGTGACAGACTTCGGGAAAAATATTTATTATTAGAAGAAACTTGAGGAGAGTCTTGAAAAAATAACCTAGTGTTGACCACAAATGCTGACCACATAAGTGTCTGTAATCACTGAGGCAGGTGTTGCACAAAAAAGGGTTAGAACCTGTGACACAGATCTTCCACCCAGCAGAAGAGTCAATATACCAAGTAGCCGCAGAGCAAAGTGGAAGCGGAAGTGGACAGACATGCAACAAGCCTCCAAGACCAAACCTTTCTGTGAAAGGCTTCAGGGCATGTGACACAGAGTGAACACCCACAAGTGGGGGATGCAGCTCAAACGCCCGGAAGCCAGGGAAGGAAGCAGTGTCCATGGCCCAGGCTGGGAAGGCTGCAGTGAGCCATGCAGAGAGAAGGGCCGAGCCCAGCACAGGCGGTGTGTGCGGACGCAGTTCTTACCCAGGGAGGCTATCAGGGACAGGTTCTCCAGCATGACGTCATAGTACAGCAGTCTCTGAGCCTCGCCGAGGAGCCCCCACTCCTCCTGGGAGAAGGACACCGCCACGTCCTCAAAGGTCACATGGCCCTGTCAGGAGGGGACACATGAGTTCACAGCGGCCTCTGTAACTAAAACACCCTCCCCAGCCTCCAGCCTTCATGGCACAACACCGTGACCTGAGGGCCTGGAATCTGACATGGTCCACCTGCTCAGGAGTATCTTCACACCGGGACCCTGCCCCCACCTGACCCTGACACCTCCGGTGAGACATCCCTGCCACATCTCAGACTCAGCATGAGGATACGTAATCTGGACAGTCCTCCTGCTCATCACTCCTACTTTTTCTTGGCTGCACCAGCTCTTATTTGTGGCATGTGGGATCTAGTTCCCTGACCAGGGATCGAACCCTGGGCCCCCTACATGGGGAGCACAGAGCCTTAGCCCCTGGACCACCAAGGGAGTCCCATCACTCCTACTTCTCACTTCCCGTCTCAGACACAGTGTCCCTACCCTCACCTAAAGGCAAACGTCGTGGTGTCATGTCAGACGACTGGCCCTGGCCCTGCACAGCAGAAAAGCATCCAGCTCCTCAGGCCCCCACCCCAGGAAAGGCTGTGCTCTGTCTATCCACCCACGTCCTGGGTCCTGCAGTGTCCTGGACACACCCCACTTGGTCTCACCTCCAGGCACACGGACAGGCTGGCTCCAGTCCCAGGAACATCTCACCACCTCATCTTCTCCACTGGACACATGAGACCACCTCAGTACAACTATCAAAACTGAGGAGGGGGTTCATGGGAATCCCTGAGTTTGTAGGCAAGTGGGACAGAAGTACTGGTAGCCTGGAAACCAGAGACCAGAACTGGCTTCTCTAAAGAGGGTCCTGCACCTGAGGTGACCCCAGGGCCAGAACTGAGGCCCAAGAACCCTAGGACAACTGTGTCTCCCGTATGTGTGTGTCATGGGGTGGGATGACGTCTGGGGAGGCACTGTCCAGGGACCATAAACGTGGCTGCTACCATGGGCGCCTGTGAAAAGAGGGAGGATGGAAAGGTGGAGCTGTGTCCTCCCTTCCCTTCCCTGAAGATGAGTCACCTCAGGTTGACCTCTGACCTCAGAGCTATAACCTGACCACTCAGATAACCTTCAACAGATTCAACTTCCTTCAGTTTCAGTGTCTTCATGTGTAAAATGGCAACATTTATGGTGCCTATCTCATGATGCTACTGTAGGCATCAAATGCATGATTAGTGTATGTCTGGTGCTATCACTGAGCTATTACAGAACAGAGGATTAACATGTTCATAAATGTTTTTGAAAATATGATACTTCTTACATGTCTTTTAAGTCATTATATAAATGTGACATTTAGTCAACACCTTGAAGTTTCTGTGATTCCTTCTATGATTTCCGATCTGACACCAAATATATGATATCTTTTCTACCTCCAACGATCAGATTCTATGATACAAACTGGGTGCCCTACATTAATCGTATTCTGGCATCCGGAGGTTAGGGACAAAATTTAAAGGTTTAAGGGCTCAGTCTCACCAGACTATCCCTTTCTAGAGAGGCCAATTCTGACCTCTGGTTCCCAGGCTACCAATATTTCTGTCCCACTTGCCTACCAATTCAGGGATTCCCGTGAGCCCCTCAGTTTTGATAATTTGATAAAATGACCTACGAAAGTAAAGAAAACACTTTTCTTTCTTCTGGTTCCTTGTAATGGATACAACTTAGAAACAGCCCAATGGAAGAGATGGCTAGGTGGGGAAGGTGGGGGTGAAGGGAAGCGAGGGGTTTCCAGGTCCTTTCAGTACATGACACCAGCCTAGGACTTCCACCACTTCAATGTGTTCACCAATCTGAAGGAAACTTCATCTCATTTTTCAGCAGTTTTTATACCTAATCTAGTTTCCTTCTGATCCTTGGGAGGCCCCAGGGTGGGGGTGGGGGTCTAAACTAATTGCTTGGTTTTTCTGGTGACAGGTACCATGCTGAGGCTACCTAGGAGACCCACCCTAAGTCATCTCATCATAAAAACTCCTGTGTGAAAAGAGGGCTACTTGTGGATAGCAAGCCCTAACTCCTAGGAAATTCCAAGAGATTCAGAGAACTATGTGAAGAGCCCAAGACAAAAACTATTTAAATATATTATGTAAGATTATACACCGACATAGATCGCCATTTTCAGCAGTTATTACTCGCTTACACAGATTAACTTGTTAAATCTATACATTTGTAAGCTTGTGGTTTCCTGGAAGACCTGAGGCATCTGTACTTTGAGCCTGAGCTTGACTCACTGGTCAGTATGGCCCAATTTTCCTGGCTCCACAAGGAACAGACAGTTGGCTGCGTGTCCACAGCAGTCAGTGTACACGCCCGCCCCGCTCCTTCTCCATCCCCACCCCAGTCAAGGCTCCTTACTGCTTATACCCTGCCTCCCCCAGAAAGCTCTGGAGCCACAGGACCCTCCCATCGGGCAGCCTCATGAAGTCCCATTCTCCCTCCAGCCCCAGCCTCTCTCTCATCTCAGGTCCCCTTTCATAGAAAAGTGACAAGACCTTCCCTCCTAAACTGGAGATCCAGGCGAAGCTGCAGTCCAGGACTCAGGCTGTCACCACGGACACCTTCAACCTCCTCCCTCAGTGCCAACCTATGCATCTCGCAACCGCTGTGTTACCTCAACTTTCGAGTCTAAGAAACAGCACATCCCTAATTCAGCCTTTACTATCTCCCTAAAACCCACTTCTCATATCAGTGTGGCCTCGGGTCTTACAGATGCTCAGCCAAAAGAAAACCTTCACTGTCCTTTACTCAGAGCCACGTTTCCTGCACCAGGAAATCCTGCCAATTAGCTTTAAGTTTTTATAATACAATTATTTATATTCCATATAAATAATATAATTAATGCCTATATTTTAATATTCATTCATTATATTATTTATTTCATTTATTAAAAATTAATAAACACACAACATTGTTAATTGTTTATATCTCAATACAAAATAAAAAGCTTGGAAAAAACTAATAAACAGAAACCTCAGTTAGGGTTGGCCTGCTGGAGGCGGAAGCCCTCGCTGACCTGAGACAATAATGGTATTCCAAAGGAAGAAGAGTCTCTTCTTCCCTGGAAAGGACTCAGACAATGAAAAGCCATGGGCTGGTTGGTGGCTGCAGCCCATCTAACTTCCTTCTTTAATCTCCATGAAGTGTTAGCTCAGGACTGTTGTATTGCCCTTGAATGTAAAGTTCTTTCTTCACAGAGAAAGAGTTTAGAGACAAAGTAGAGAGGGTAAGAAAGTAAAGTGAGAATCTAAGCAAGGGTATGCTCTCAGCGGGAGAGGAGTGATAGGTGAAAACCTCGCGTCCCAGGTTTCTCAGGCAAGGCAGTTATAAGCGGGATAGAAATGAAGGGGTGGAAAGCTCACGAGGAAGGAGAAGTCTGGGGGTCAGATTTCTTGATTTTAATCCAAGGAGAGAAGGGATTTTTTGTCCTTACTTAGCTTCGATCACAAGTGTTATGATGGGTGATCATAACATATGATCCGTGCCTGATGGGTGCTTTTCATCTGTCCAGCTAATCTTACTGTATTGAGGACATCATGAACAAAAGTTACCTTTGGACACAGGAGATTCCCACCTTTCACCTCCTTTCTTTGTCTGCTACCCAGACACTTACCACCCAAGATCTGTGCTTTCCTGTCAGTCTGGAGGTTCCTGCTTTCCTCCGCCTTCGGATCCGTGCTATTTGCAAGAAGCAGGCCCCCCTGCCCCCGTTTCTCTGCTCACACCTAGTGACCTGCCTGCTGCAATAGCCGCACACCCCAACTGCAAATCCCTGATGCTCCTGAGCGGGGAGACACCTTCACAAAAGAAATGGGGGCAGTCGAATTGTTTTACGTCGGCAACTTCCAAAGTCACTAGTGTCGTCCGGACACTACCCAACTCTCTCCCAGGTCTCCCTGTCTCCACCTCATGCCCCTCGCGATCTTTTCAGTTTCTTTAAGCTCCGCTCCACCCAGTGATTTAGAGCCCCGGGTCCTGCAGACAGCAGCAAAAACGGTCAAACGACCATCAGAAAGACGCCAGAAGTCCCGCCTCCTCCTATTTCACGTTCCCGGAAAAGCCCCAGTTTGGGGGCTTCATTGGTGCGGAGTACCAGGCCGCGCACGGACTTCTGGACAATGTAGTTCCCCTGCGTCCAGGGATTGCTCTGGACCAGACCCTCCCCCAACCTGCAGGGCACTAATGGGCCAAGTCTGGCAGGAAGAACTACTTAAAAACACATCAAAACAGACCCAGCAAAGCCTGTATGTATAATCTTTTAAAAATTCTGATCTAACTCTCATTTCTCAACATAAAATATGATACAAGATTAGAAAAAAGGCATTCCAGTTGTGTCAAGACTGAGGAGCCAGAGTCTTCGTTTTTGTTTTTTATGAAAATCTTGGAAGCATTTGCAAGTAAGGAAATACGATTTTGGAATAAAAAAGGCAATTCTGTATTATTGTCTAAAAAAAAAAGTACATGAAACTAGATAACAGAAGTCTATAGTGGATACTGTCTGCCTAAATAAACTTAAGAGGCAATAATCAACCACAACACATCTACTTGGAATCAAAGAATTGCAACTCGGTGCACATTCAAGTATCAGGGCTTCCCAGGTGGTGCAGTGATAAAGAACCTGCCTGCCAGTGAAGGAAATTCAAGAGACTCGGGTTCGATCCCTGGGTCGGGAAGGTTCCCTGGAGGAGGAAATGGCCACCCACTCATGTTCTCATCTGGGAAATCCCATGGAAAAAGGAGCCTGGCGCACTAGTCCCTGGGTCCCAAAGAGTGGAGGGGACTGAGCATGCGAACACATTAAAGTATCAATAGCAATAAAAAAAATGTTGTCTAGGGAATAAAAGGAGCTTTTAAGGACAAAACCAGGTTCGCACTCCACAGGATTTTAATTGGAGCTGGAGGCAGAAGGCAGTCTTGGAAGAACAGGGTCGAGTGCTATGGCTACCGCTAGAGGGCGGTAACCCGTGTGATGCGTGGCAGACATTACGGCAGAGTCCTTGGAATAGTTGCAGGTTGGTCCCGATCAGAAACTCGTGGTTTCACAAGAGGGGGAGGTACGGGAGGCCCACAGCTGAAAGCCTCCTATGGGGAAGGAAATGGCGACCCACTCCAGTATTCTTGCCTGGAAAAGTCCATGGACGGGAGCCTGGCGGGCTGCAGTCCATGGGGTTGCATGACTGAGAAGGCATGCATGAGGGTGCAGGGAGATGGGTTGGTAGCAACAAACTGGTAGAACTAAAAAAAAAAAACAAAGCTTCCTAACTCCAGGTTAAAAACCCCTTGACATAAATGACTCCACTTTATTTCACATTTCCGAACATTACTGATTTGTCATGCCTTACAGGAGTTTTCAAAGCAAATATAAATGTGTTCACAGTATATACACAAACTATATGAAAATAGCAGGCTTTTTTTAAAAAAAAAATTGAAACAAGAAAACACTTAAGATACTGAGCTATCTATAAATTTTTAAAGTTAATATATAAATAATAAGTAAATTCAATAAGTACTACAAATTAATGAGGAAAAGACTGAAAATCTTCAGAAGGCAAAATTCTTGTATGCCACTTGAGATCAGAATTACAAAATGCATGAACACTTTTTAAAAATTATTTTATTTTTCATTAGGAAAAGGAACAGGCAACCAATCAGATTGATGAGACCTAAGTAAGTCTGACATTATCTAATGTTGGTAACACTAGAGAAATTAATAAATATCATAAACCTTCATTAGGTTATCTATTAAAATTATTTTGCAAAAGCATTTGGTACTACATAGCTCAGGTGGTAAAGAATCTGCCAGTAACACAGGAGACCCCGGGTGGGGAAGATCCCCTGGAGAAGGGATAGTCTACCAACTCAATTCTTAGGCTTGCCCTTGTGGCTCAGCTAGTAAAGAATCCGTCCACAATGCGGGAGACCTAGGTTCGATCCTTGGGTTGGGAAGATCCCCTGGAGAAGGGAATGGCTACCCATTCCAGTATTCTGGCCTGGAGAATTTCACGGACTGTATAGTCCATGGGGTCTCAAAGAGTCAGACGCGACTTTCACTTTCACTACACTGTTACTTTAAACCTTTGTTCCTTTGTGCAAAAACTTCTATTGATATATGCACTGCATAAACCAGTGTATAAACCAGAAAACATGTCAGATATTTCTAAGTAGCATTGCTATTCCTATCAAAGGCATGAAAAAAACAAAGAAAGAAAAGTTTCAAGAATGGAATGTAAAATTAAGTTTGAAAATTCAGACCATATAAATCTATAAAAATAGAGTCCTTGCGGGGAAAGGAAATTTGCAGGATAAAACCGTTAATATCTTTTGTACCACAGCTAAGTGCACAAAATGTGATATTGACATGAAAATGAGACAAACCAGCCAACATGAAGGAAACCCCAGTGGACTTAAATCAGGGAAATTTTGAGTTTCAAAACAAATGACAGTGCTGGACTTTAACCTGCTTAATAATAACTTAAATATTTAAAAATCCACTGATATTGATACAAATTAATGGACAACTCACTTGGGAAGCTGAATTTCAAAGTAGAATGCCAACTAATATGGAAAATTGAAGGAAGACTTCCCTGGTGATCCAGTGGCTAATACTCTGTGCTCCCAATGCAGGGTCTCTGGGTTCAATCCCTGGTCAAGGAACTAGATTCCATATGCTGCATGCCACAACTAAGACCCAGTACAGTCAAATAAATAAATAAGAAAATTGATGGAATCTGAAAATCATCAGTGGTGGCTAAAACTAAGGGATGAAATATTGACATGGATCAGTATATTTACACAGTTTCAAAATATCTTCTGAATATTTACTGGAAAGGAAAATAGTAATTCTAAAGTCAAGAACACAAACCTAAATAAGTGCCTAAAATGAATATAAACATTGAGAAGCATGGACATCACATGCCTCCTGATAAGAAGTACTGCGAAATATAAAATATCACTCCTGTGGTTTCTCTGTTAAATAATACAGAGGTAAAATACAATCATTAGGGAACATCAGAAAAATAAAAGGAAATTGTACAAAATAAATGACTTATATTTGTCCAGATAGTCGATTCTAAGGAACTCAGTGAACACTGATGAACTGTTTCATTAAAGGGAGTACAGAGGGTAATGAAAACTAAACGTAACACGCAATTTTGAATTTGGCCACGGACCAGGAAAAATGCCAAGGGACAATATTGGGATGAATGATAACATCTGAATATGGACTATGGATTAAATAATAATATTGGAAGTCCCTGGTGGTCCAGTGGTTAGGACTCTGTGACTCCACTGCAGGGGG